AATATAATATTAATTAATTCTCAAGCGTACAATGAGCATATTCATATTTGAATAACTTTTTAATAATTAATATTTTAATATTATTTTATTTGAGCCAAAAAAAATTGACTGCAGAATTTCCTATCAAAATCCACTTGTATTTATACATTTTTAAGAAAAATATTTCTCATATTTACTATCTTTTCTAATAAAATTTGAAGATCTATTATTATATGACTATCTCGTTACACTAAACTAAACTATAAATATAATTTTATTGGCTAATTATTTACCCATCAGTTAATTATTTATCCTTCGGCTGATTATTTATCCTTATTCTATATTATTGTATTTTTCGGTTATTACAACACAAAGTATTTCTATAATAGAATTATTTCTCGTTATTCTTTTAAATTTATATCTTAAAAACATGGCAAAGTATCTAGTAACTGTACTAAAAACCTTTATAAATGTACAAACAACATGTTATATCTTGTAGTAATAGTTACTGAAGGTATTATTAAATGTGTACTACCTGAGCGAATAATTACAATTACAGAAAATGAACAGTTTTCAGAATTGTATGAAATATTTACTTCTGGACAATTTAATAATCAAAATGTTAAAGTTTATGTTCGTCAAAATAGAGTTGACAAATGGGTAGAAGTAAGCGATGGGTTAAATAGTGATCTTAAAATTATGGAGGTCTTAGGATATAATCATGTAAATTTTTCGCTTATCACAGAATCTATAAGAGAAATAGATCCGGTTAATTTTCCTGATGCATTTGATATTATGATGAGAAATGCATGACAACTGAAACTCCCACAGCATCATACTAAACATACTAGACGTGATTTATTATATAATGAAATTATTGATCTTTTACGTAATCAAAAAGCTGGTTGGAAAGGAGGTGTTCACCAAACTTTAGGAAAGGAGTTTGTAGAGCGTATTGCAAATGCTATTTGGTATATTGATCCACATTTAAAATTATTACAATCTCGTTCTTGCCATATTCCTGTGCTCTTTAAAGAATTAGCAACATATGCAAATGATGATCCTGATATAAATACATACAACCTTGCATATCGTACCACTCATCACAAAAAAGAACCTATTTCACATCAGAAACTAGACCTTTTAATCAAATCATTAGAACTTTTAATAGGGCAACCTTGGGTGAACGATAATGAATGGAATAATATTATTCCTGCTATAATTGCCTTGGTGGATATGATGCGAAAATATAGTGAGCATCTTGTAAAAAGTAAAACAATAATGGCCACTATTCATCACAATGATGAATCAACACGCAATCCAACAAATAATTCTCGTATGTTTCGTGTTCTTGGCTGTAAGGAAAATGATCTTAATGAACAATATCAAGAGTTAAATGATGCCATTCTACAATGTGGTTTTTATCAATATATGGATGTTTACTCTTATCTTCCTATAGATATTATGAAATGTTATCGATATCTAAAACATCTTCAATTAACTTGCTCAATTGGAATTTATAGGTAATGCAAGTTATAATTATTAATGGCTGTTTTGTTTAATGCTAAAAGAAAGTATTTCTTTAGATATGCACAAAGAAATTATCTTGGCACAATAACATACATATGGAAAATACCAGAATCGAAAGCAACTGACGAATTCTAAGATGAAACCCAAAAAGTTCGTATGTTGGCAAAAATTCATGAAGGATTGCCTAAGTACTTTACCTGGCAGATGAGAAAGAATGTTCTTAACAAGGTATTTTTAAACTATATTAAGTGATCATTTATGTTTAAAGTATTCTAAACTTTAACATTTATATTATTTGTGCAGTATTCTTTAATAAAAACAGTTACTCCTGCCATATTGCGAATGTTATATTTTGATCTTACTGGTGATGCAGCTGTTACAGCAAATATTATTAGCCGTGAAATTGAAGAAAGGTTACACTTAATGATGGCACTTGAAGATCCATCAATAACATTTGATTTGCGAACAAATAATGGATTCAAGGGAAATAAGTTTGATATATTTTGGACTGAATTAGATATGTATTTTAATGAGGTATAATTTTCAATTGATTGATAATAATATGTGCTGTGAAAACAAAATTATAATCTTTAATACAATTAATTATATAGGAAACTCCAGCTGTAGATGATCGACGTCACGATACAATCATGCATATGCCTTTGGCAATTTCTATATGTGATCTTCGTGATATAATTTTAGCAAGACTGCATATTAAGAATGGTGAACCACTCCCAGCAGAAATTCACATACCATCATATGAATGGATTCGATTGCAGTTTTAGCCAACAAATTCTACAACAGCAAAGGCTATACAATATACAGGAAGATATCAAGTTAAATTCAAGGTGCAAGGTAGATTACTTCGTAAGAAAAGTGTGGATGCTCATTATTGTGCAGCAATTTTTCGCTATTTACGCGAATTTTGATTTAATATCAACAATGGGCATGTTTTATATCAGCTGACGATAAACATAAGAGCCTATTGGTGAGGATGTGCCTGTATCTACTGGAGTGCGTAACTGTCGATCATTAACTACACAAAATAATGATCTAAATGCATCTGATCATGATTTCACTAAACTTTCGCTTACACCTTCAGTCATTTTTTTTGTTTCCATTCCAAGTGATATTTCTGGTGGATTTTATAGTGGACAAGTTTTTGTATCTTTTAAAGACACTGTTTTTGAACCAAGCAGTGCTATTAGACATGCAACTGAATTTCACAATGCTATCGATATAAAGTACACACATCAAACTTCACCACCAATTTTATGTCTTTATACTGATGGTGGACCAGATCATAGGTGTACTTATGGTTCAGTTCAAATTGCTTTAATCAGTCTCTTTTTAAGTGGAAATTACGACATGCTCATTGCAGTGCGCACAGCTCCACATCACAGTTGGACAAATCCGGCAGAAAGAATAATGAGCATCTTAAATTTAGGACTTCAAAATGTATCAATTATGCGAAACACAATGAGTGATGAATCTGAAGCACTTTTTGACAAAGCTGATATACTTGATGAAATTCGTGATAAAGCAAGTAAAAATTCTAATTTAGAAAAGGGGTTACGAGATTGCATTAAAGATGTTCAAAATTTATTGCATAATCGTTCTGAAAGATTGGTTTTAAAAGATCAATATTTCAAATGTTACGATGCTGCAAATGAGCATGATATTAACGGCTTGTTTCAGGTATTAAGATATATTTTTAAATTTTTATTGTCATTATTAATTACTAATCATTCTTATATATTTATACAGTCTATTTTAAAGGTTGATCCTTCATTGATCCGTAGTGAAATCACACAAGCTCAACTAACACGTCATACTGAATTGATTAGTTTTATGAAAACCCATTGCCATGAACGCGCTTATTCCTTTCAGGTATGATATACACTTTAAATTTTCACAATCATAGTTGGCATAGAACTATTTCTGTCTTATTTTAAATTTAAATACCACTTTAATAATATCAAATTCATGGCTTGAGCATATTATTCACATAGATTTATTATTTTCATTTTATAGATTAAAAAATGCCAAAATGTATTGTGTGATATTTGTACACCAATACGCCTTCCACAAACCATCTTTGACAATTTATATTTCTTACCTGATCCAACTCCGGCACTAGGTATTATAATTATAAATTGTTTTGCATTGATAATTTTAAATACAAATTTTGACATTACAAAACATTACAGATAGTCCGGAACACTACTCTTCATTTCAAGCCGTCTATGGGAAACAAACTAGTGAAGAATTCTGCCCATCACTGCAACTTAACCAAGCCAATGCTGAGCCTGCACCCAAAAGTGTATTAGTTAGTGGTAAAATTCGAGATTATATTATGTGTTGTGATTGTGGAAAACGGCGTTGTGTTTATAGTAATAAAGCATTGAGTCAAGATGAGATGCAGGATTTTAAGCAATCTCTGGATGTATATGATTATTCTTGTGGCGCACCTCTCTTTTCTGATGATCATTATTTGGCGGAAATATTATTTGTTCGTGTAAAAATATCTTGTGACATTCCTGTGGAAATCCTTTACTGTTCTAGCCGAAAATCTGGAAACTTCGATATATGCTACTATTGTGGTACAGATAGTGATTTCGTTGATTCACCTAGCATTTTAAGAACTAAATATAAGATAATATATCTATTATGCCAAGGGTGTCAGGATAAAGGTAAAGAATTTAGCACTCGTATAGAGGTTAAAGTGAATAACAATAATTCAAAGCGAAGAAAAATAAGCTAGATTAAAATTTATGGGTTTTTTATATATAGTTTCTTTTGTTTAATAAGTAGTATTACCGTTTAATAATGTTTAATAATTAGTATAGTTAGTATTAATAATTAATAAATAAATAAAGATTGCGCATTGTAAAAAGAATTTGTAATTTACAGTAATTACTAGTTTATTTTGCTTTTATTTGAATTCTATTATATATAGCATAGTATTTTAAATAAAATAGAACTATTTTACAAAATTTTATTATTTGTATTTTTTTTTATCCCCCCCTCCTATATTTAATTTCATATGTTATGTAAAACATATAATCAAATTGGTCAGGCCTTACATATATAAATAAATGTCGATCCTATTCTATATGCACTAACACGTAATCGCTTTACAATTGTGTTACATTTGAAAGTATATGCAAATTGTTTAAATGCCTCACGAAAGACCTCCTAAGCTCAGTGCCATGGGTAAATATTTTACCGCATATGCCACATCAAAAATTTTTTGAGCCACATTAGCTTCACTTTAGCTGTACCTAAGGTTGCTGGAGAAACTAGGGGGCTTTAGCAAGTTGGCAAAATGCTAAAATGGCGAAACTTTGCCAAAACTATATAAAAGTTTTATTAAAAAGTTGGCAAAACTCTGGAGAAAAGCGAAACCTGACGAAACTTATTATAAATGCTAAAACTGCCAAAATCTTGCTGAAACTATAATAAATTTTTTAATTTTTCACATGATTTTACTTAGGAATAGCACATGATTTAAAACAAAATGTTTTAAAACAATTTAAATCAGTTTTTTATTGTTTTAAAATATTGATTGGCATGATTATTGCGTAATTATTTTTTAATGGCCTTTTTTGTATTTTTAAGTTAAAATTATTTTCGTGAAAGACCATCATCATAAATACTTTGAAAAGTTACGAAAATATATTGTCAAAAGTATGTAATTATTGTGGAAATGACATTAATTATTGATTTAATTGATCGATTAGAAGATTTAAAATTAATATATTATATAATTTTTTTTTATTAAGAGTTAGCGCACATTTTATTTAACGAACTACTAGTATCACTAAGCTATATTCCCAACAAGATCAGTCCAGCTATATTCTAAATATATATTATATAATAAAGTGATTGAATTTTTATTGCAAATATGTATTACATCGTAAAGGTTAGTAAAGTGTTTAATATTTTAAAACACGTTTAAAACATATTTTAAAATGCCAAAATTGTTTTAAAATATGGTTTTTACCATCCTTAATAGGGATGACATGTGATTTAAAACAAGATGGTTTAAAACAATTTAAATCAGTTTTTAGTTTTAAAACATTTTTTTTTTGTTTTAAAACATGATTATTGCATAATTATTTTTTAATGGCCTTTTTTGTATTTTTAAGTTAAAATTATTCTCATAAAAGACCATCATCATAAGCACTTTGAAAAGTTACGAAAAACACCTCATCAAAAGTATGTAATTATTGTGAAAATGACATTAGTTATTGATTTAATTAATCAATTAGAAGATTTAAAATTAATATATTATATAATTTTTTTTTATTAAGAGTTAGTTAGCATTAGGACTCTGATCGGTTCAGTTCAGTACAGTTTTTGCCAAAACCGAAACTGAATCGAATTGATCGGTAACGGTATTGTTAATTACTGAAACTGATCAGTTTCAGTAATCATAAATACCATTACCAACCGGTAATTACCGAAAACTGAACTGATTTACCGATTCATTATCGGTTCAGTTTTAAAAACATTTCGCAACATTTTTATTAAATTATCAAAAAAAATGTTGCGAAACGTTTTTTTAAATTAAATTAACAAATAAAAAATGTTTCACAATATTTTCTATTAAGAACGTTGCAAAACGTTTTTTTAAATAAATGATCGGCGTGAGGCTATGAAAATTTTATTTTCTGAGTCTTGCGTTCTCCAACTAATACTTCATTAAATAATATTATAAACACCCTTTGCGCTCGAAATCTTTATGGCTATATGTGGTTTGACAATAGAACCTTACTCACGGTTCTTTTTTGTGGGTTTAGTACTTTCTGATTACCTTAAAATGAATGCTTCAAAAAACACCAGCTTACTTTATTTTATTACAAAAATTTTTATTATCATTTATTAGTAGTTTAGCAATATATGTACTACATCAGGAAATTTTATAGCGTGAAAAATTGCGTAAGTTTACGATTTTGTAAGTTTACGAAAGTTTATGGCATAATATTTCGAAAAATTTCAAAATATTACGTAAGTTTACAATTTCGTAAGATTTATGT